CTCTTGATCTTACATTGCCCCGCTGATGGTCATAAATTTGGTAGATAATTGGAAAAAGTCAAGTGAATGAAACTGATGAATACTCCTGTACTCATAACATAAATTACATAATGATTATTGGTGAATTTTCTATCCAACACAAATTTTAAAAAAAGAAGAAGAAAATGAAGCAAATATCACCCAAATTGAAAAAATCCACTGCAAAATCAGTCATTCTGGGGTGAAATACAAAAAAATTCCTGATATGAAAAGATTGAAGATCACACACCTGTCTCGCTGCAGCAATCCCTGTCAACATAAATCACATCCGGCTCCGGCTCCTTAGCATCCTTGTAGCGCTTGACGATGCCTTGACAAGTCATCTAGGCCAGTTCCCTCACTTGGAGATCTGCAGGAACACACAAACTACAGTGTGCGTGTGTAATATATATATATATATTTTTTTTTTTTTTTTTTTTTTTTCCCCTTCTCTTTTTCCCTTTTTTTTTTGTAAAATCAAGCTTCAGGATTCTACCATATGTTGAGTGCATTTCAGAGGAATGTCCCACATCCTCGTTGGTGCCAGCAAGAACATGCGCTGTCTGAAGTAACTATCTGGATCAGGAGGTGAAGTTGTGGGCTTGCAAGGACTTGGTGGATAAAACCAATTCTGTGAAATTTGCTGCTTCAGCTGTCCTGTGCTGTCATAAAGACACTGTGCTATCCACTTCCAGTCTGCTGGTTTAATTACTCTACAGAATTGCTTGGGGAGAAAACTCACCCAATTCACTTCTGGAAGCGTCAGGTTAATGTGTGGTTTGGATGGTATGTAGGGTGCACCTTGTGGAGCTCCTTGCCACTCTTGGGTCTAACTGGGTTGTTGTGTGTCAGCAGCAACTGATGAATGTGCTTGTGCAGCTACAGAATAACAAATGATGCTGTGGGAGGAGCTGTAGGTGGATCCACAGTTCTTCCTCCTTGGTCTGCCAGACTAGTCAACAGATGGTCATTTTCAATGTGCAACTGCACCCGTAGCTTGAGTACTGGTCAGTGGGCTGGCTGCTTTCCTGTACTGGTCCGTGGGGTTGGCTGAGACTGGTCAGTAGGACTGGTCCGTGAAGCTGGTTGCATGCTGATTGTGTAAACGACATTCATCAATACACTGCAACACATCCTTCCACTTCGCTCCTGGCTTCTTGCCTGTTGTAAAGCGGTACTTCCCTTCGGCGTACTTTCACAGGATGTCATACCGGTACGCGTCAGGTTTACTGGTCTTAGTCATGTCTACAAATATGAAACAACAGGGTAAATATCAGACAGCTTGGGCTCATTTTAAAGTTCATGAAAAAGATGCCACCCTAGCTAGCTAGAATGGAACAGAGGGCAAAACTTATGGCAAATGAACAATTGAACAGATACAAATAATGTAAAATAATTTCTAAGAACAGAAAAAAAATATATACAAAAAATCCTTTGTTCCGATGGTAAAGATTATTTTAAACAGGACCATTAAGTAGTAGGATTTATAACATGAACATAATTCATGTTTGTTTATGTACATGGTTGTCCAGTTATGTATGTATTTGTTGTTATTGTTTTTCTTTTATGCCAGTGTCAAAGACAATTTTCTTTCTATGGCAAATAGATAGTGAATAATAAAGTTTAAACTAAAGAGTGGATGAAGTTTTGAGGTATCTAAAAGCAGTATAAACTATACAGTAAACTTTCAGAAACAGAAAAAGCAACAGAAAATAAAATAAAACTGTATAGTCCTCACTGCATGACTAAAATATATATTAATCTTTAATAAAGCTTCTAAAGTTATTCGGTTAAGAGCAGTGTGGAGTTTTCTCTTTCACTGTCTGAATCCAATATTTTGACAGATAACCGACTTTTTCCAACTGTTTACCTTCACTAAAGACATAACCGCTCGTGTTTAAATGAAACACTCGGCAGACTAGACAGGAATTCTGATCAGTTTTAAGTGTATTTTTCATGCCAACCGAGTTTTCATGCCGAGTTTTTTTTCTTTTCGTGCAGAGTTTTAACACCAAACACGTCCCACTCTGTATTTTTACATTCGTTATTATTATTGTTATCACTGTTAGTGTTATTTTATGTAGTATAAATGAAGCAGCGCTGCCACTGAGAGCCGAGCAGACCTGCTCATATCGCCGCGATTTACAGCCTCATGCAAACCCAGCACCTAATGTTGATGTCATTGATAAACCACCGATTTAACAATAAGGTTAGCTAAATTAATGTTAGTACTCACCTCGACGTTATCCAGAGATCCAAAAAAATCTTTAAAACTGTGTTATATAATAAATCTGGCGGGCGCTGTGAGCTCTCCGTGCTGTCAGGATCGTGAACGGTTCCGCCAGCCATTTTGGGCCACGGTTTCTCTTTATATTATATGAATCACGTGCTTTGTCACGTGACTGAGTTTCAGCCAATGGCTGTTCTGCCCCGAGCACCGTTCGGAATTGTTAGGAGTTTTGTTGGGAATTATTTAGAATGTGTTACGACTTGTTAGAAACTGTTAGGAACAGTCTGGCAGTCCGCAGTGTTTTAAGGTCGGTCACCTCGTCCTCATGACTGCAGTGTTCACTGGTGGAGGCTAGTTTCTATACAGCTATACTAGCTCCCTAATCAGAATCAGAATTAGCTTTGTTTGCCAAGTGTGTGCGCAGACACACAAGGAATTTGTTGTGGGTTTTTTTAAGGTGCTCTTGGTACATACATGCATACATACATACATATCTGGCATGAGAACAGAAAAACATTTAAATAGTAAGGCTTAACAATAAAAATTAGTAATGTGTATGAATCTGGAACAGAAGATTTATGTATAGATTTATGCATTATTTACTCTATATACAGTTGTATAAATAAGGAGATATGCATATGTATTTACATAATACTTGAGAAAAAGGCAGTAATTAGAGATGGAGGATAAATTACAGAAATGAATGACAGAACACAGGTAATGATTCCTGTGTTAGCCGTTTAAGCTGGAGATGGCATGGGGGGGAAAAGCTGTTTTTATGCCTAGATGTTCTAGTGCACAGAGATCTGTAACGTCTGCCTGAAGGGAGGAGTGCAAACAGGTTGTGGCCGGGGTGAGAGGGGTCTGTGATGATGTTAGCTGCCCGTTTCTTCACTCTGGAGTTGTACAAGTCCTGAAGCTTGGGCAGGTGCACACCAATGATCCTTTCTGCTGTCCTAACAGTCCGTTGCAGTCTTCTTATGTGATTCTTAATACTTCTCCTATACAAGCAGTCTAGTAGTTAATAACTCTTTCGCTCCACATTAAATGGCTGTTGTTTTGTTTTTGTGTCCTGTGGTGCTCAGTTGGTGTGTGAAAGCGCACAGCTGTACAGGTGTGTGGAAATTATTTCTTTTGTTTACGCGAACATGGCGCTCCGGCAACAACACGAACTCACGCCTCGTCTGTGTTACGTAACTCTCCTCCTGCGCTCTGATTGGCTGTGAGTCAGATCAAAGAGTTTCCAGATTCCCAAACGCTGACTGAATCATGAATGCTAATGAAGGATGGCTCTGTTCGGTGAATTAATTTAAGTTATTTAAATTACTTTTTTAACCCAGAAAGCAATTATTAACACTGATTTCTCAGACTGATGCAGAGATCAACAGCGATCTGAAGGCAGCTTTGTGAAGTTTGGTATTCTGATGTAATGTAAGTAGGAAATTCATGGAAGCGTTAAGTTTAAAACGGGACTTCCGACGAGGATGGGATTCGAACCCACGCGTGCAGAGCACAATGGATTAGCAGTCCATCGCCTTAACCACTCGGCCACCTCGTCTTACTCCAGCACCAGAAGTTGTGATTCGACCTTTAAAAACGAGGCTTTCGACGAGGATGGGATGCAGAGCACAATAGATTATTTTTTTTTTCTCGTTCCACCTTAAAACGCTGCTGAAGTAGCAATGTCACGCCATTAGATGGCGATATTTACCAGATCCCATGAGCGAGCTTTGCACTCACGTGGACGAGGTGGCTGAGTGGTTAAGGCGATGGACTGCTGATCCATTGTGCATTCTGCACGCGTGGGTTCACGTCCCTTCTTCGTCGAAAACGCCATTGCCTGAACGTGAGTAAGAGCGTTTGGTATTCGTACATATTAAGCTCCCCTCTACAATTTCGGAGTGCTGTGCTTCTCTACTTGGAGTTTAATTAATTTTTTTACTTGATTTCATTGCTTATACTAAATGTAATTTAAAGCATGAGCTCTGGTGAGAGTACAGGGTTCAATCTTACTCAGGGCTTTGAAAATGCATGAGCATGCAGAGCATAACGTTCTTCTAATTACTAAATATCGCCATCTACCGGCGACACATTGCCACTTCAGTAGTATTTTAAAGGGACAAAAAGGTGAGAAACGGACTCGAGCCTCAACTGAGATAGTCACGCATGCTACTAGACGACTAGACTACTATACGCCTAGCCTACAGGACGAGGTGGCCGAGTGGTTAAGGCGATGGACTGCTAATCCATTGTGCTCTGCACGCGTGGGTTCGAATCCCATCCTCGTCGGGAGCCATCACAGCTTCCGGCTTTCCTATTCACTGTTATCAAACTAATAAATGATGAAAATACACTTATTCTAGGAGACCAAACACACGCTCAGTCGAAGCCAGGTGGTGTTTTATCATGGCTATGTCCTGCATCCGTATTAGCACTAGTATCCTACCTACAAGCTTTACCTGATAGATTTATCAGCTATTTATCTGAAGGTTTTAAAGGCCCAGTCAGACCCAAAGACAATTTGTCGGCGCCATCTATTTTTATAGATGGAGAGTTTCTTTTGTAATCACTGGTACTCAACAGGACGAAGTTGTCGTTCCCTCCAGCACTTGGACAGCCAAACTATTCTTAAAAATTCTTAACAAATCCTAACACATTCTAAATCAATGGAAAACAAAGTCCTAACAATTCCTAACAGTTTCTTAAACAAAGTCCTAACACAACAAATCCTAGCAAAACAAAAAACAGGGAAAAAAGGTGAATGGCCAAAACATAGTCATGTGACAAGTCATGTGATTAAATCTCAGCAGAACAGACCAAGGTAGTCACATATCTCTTGGCAGTGGGGAGTAGAGAGTAGGTAACATGAGAGAAGCATGCGAGTGAAACCCAAGAAATGCTTTACAGTGGATATAAAAAGTTTACACACCCCTGTTAAAATAGTAGGTTTTTGTGATGTAAAAAATGAAACCAAGATAAATCATGTCACAGTTTTTTCCACTCTCAATGTGAAATTACAATGTATAAAAATTCACTGAAAAACATTTTAGGGGAAATAGGAAAATTAAAAAAGTTACAATCCTGATTTGTTCACGGAGTTAAAAGATCGACAGGTGAGTGTCTCTTTCAACTGATTTAATTTAGACTTTTATTTTAAAGAGATCATTAATATTATTTTTAGTATTAGTAATAGTGATGAAGGGCATATTTCTGCTGTGACGACCTCTATTTAACCTGTACCCCTTACCTTGTAGGGGTTTTTGTTACATTCTGATACAGTTTCTTTGCACCATTTGTTGTAATAAGTTGTAATTCCAGGTAATTCTATATCTTCGGCAAGAATCATTACGTTTGCTATGTAATAATGAATTCTGACGGTTAAGAAATCATAAGAAATGTTCTTATGATTTTGTCTCTGAAAGAAGATTTCCTAAGTTGGGAAATGTAATAATTTACTAAATGAAATTAGTATTTTAATAACATCAAACATAATTTTGTCTTTTTTAAGGGTGAAGAGACAATGTGTCGCCGGTAGATGGCGATATTTAGTAATTAGAAAAACATCATGCTTTGTATAAGTGCACTGAAAAAGGTTTCTTGAATTTATTTAATTCGGATTTCATAATTTTGCCTCTGTAGTACAATGGATTTGAAATGAAGCAATCAAGACGTGATTGAAGTGTAGACTTTCAGATTTAATTCAAGGTGTTCAGCAGAAATGTAGCATTAATTGTTTAGGAATTACAGCATTTTTACATAGTCCCTCCATTTTACAGGTTCAAAAGTAATTAGACAAACTAATATAATCGTAAATATTTTAGGCAATGAGAGTGTTAAAGCCAGAAGTTGTGATTAAAAGAGCGCTGTCGACGAGGATGGGATTCGAACCCACGCGTGCAGAGCACAATGGATTAGCAGTCCATCGCCTTAACCACTCGGCCACCTCGTCCTCGTGCAAGTAGCTCTCACTCGTGAAGTCTAGTAAATATCGCCATCTACTGGCAAGACATTGCTCCTTCTGCAGCGTTTTAAGGTGGCCTGACAGAGTAAAAATAATAATTTCCCAATACAGTCCTTTTCCCATACAGTCCTGGTACTAATAGACACAACTACAGCTGTCAGATGACGAGGTGGCCGAGTGGTTAAGGCGATGGACTGCTAATCCATTGTGCTCTGCACGCGTGGGTTCGAATCCCATCCTCGTCGGGAGCCAAGTTTTAAACCACGCACACACTCAGTTGAAGCTGGATGGTGTTTCATCATAGCCATGGCCCGAATTCATGCTTGTACTAAGTACCCTACCTAAAAGGTTTACCTGATAGATTTATCAACGCCTGTGAGACATCTGTAATTAACCACCAGAGTTTCAACAATATTAGTTATGGATTATACTATAAATACACCATATATATTTTTTCATTCAAACTTAAGAATCCTACTATGTTAGCCTATTTTGTTAATATATTATAAATAATAACAACTGCTTCAGAAGTGCAGTATCTAAAATATCATGTTAATAAAGCTAATTAAATATGGAAGTATTTTCCAGACAAATTTCAAAAGCAGTTACAAATTGCATTTGCAATTGCGTTTCCTATTTGTGGATGCAAAATTGTAAATTGTGACATAATTCAAATGCAAATCGCGTATTACCTTTTGCATTTTTGTTTACACGAACATACAATGTCTGCCAAATTTCAATTGAAAAAGCAAAATCCATTTGCAGTTGCATTTCCCATGTCTTATGAGTTATAACCCTGTCATATTGAAATAGCAATAGCAATTAATGTTTGCTATTTCACTTCCTCGGCATTGTGTATTGAGCCTGGCAAAATTCAAATGCAATCACAGTTCCCTTTGTATTTGCATTTCTGATCCCTCGCACAGAAACCTGGCAATCAGTGCTTCGAGGGGGAGTATACTATTAGGTGTGTTTGTATTTGGAAGTGACATACATTAAACTGTAAAACTGATCTGCAAACTTTTGATTGTCTGTTGAACAGACTCTAATTGCATGTGCCATTTACACTGCATGCAACCCATTCACATTCCTAAGTGTAAAATTCATTCTTACATGCTGTGGTTCTCTGCATGAATCTGAGGAATTGGTGTCCAGTGAAAATTCTTTAATAAAATAGGATATAACATTACCAAATCTTTCCCAACTCACAGATGGTGAGAATCTACAGTAAAACACACACACACACACACACACACAGTCAATTTAATACAATCCAATTCAATTAGCTTTATTGGCATGACCGTCACAGCAGGTAGAGTATTGCCAAAGCACTGAAATGACAATTTTATAGAAATAGCAATAAAAGAAATAGAAAAACAATAACAATAAAATAATAAAATAGGGCACATAAACAGATAATCACTCACTGCAATGGTCCATCGGGCTGTGTGTGTGTGTGTGTGTTTTGGTGTATCACTCATTGTCCCTTAGGCTTTGAGGAGTTGATAAGATTGGGAGGAAGCTCACAGACAAGGGGAGAACATGCACAACCCCCAACAGATATTACCCCAAGCTCAGGATGGATAAGGGGACCCTGGCTGTAGCTGTGAGGCATCAACACTAACTGCTGCATCCTGTGCCACTAAGTGCCACTTCTTCAAATCCAAACAGCCATTACGATTAGCATCAGACACAAACTGATAACTGCATCAGACAAACCGATAACTGCATCAGACACAAACTGATAAACTGCATCAGACACAAACTGATAAACTGCATCAGACAAACTGACATGCTGCATAAGACACAAACTGATAATTCATCAGACAAACTGATAAACTGCATCAGATACAAAACTGATAACTCATCAGACAAACTGATAAACTGCATCAGATACAAAACTGATAACTCATCAGACACAAACTGATAAACTGCATCAGACATAAACTGATAAACTGCATCAGACAAACTGATATTGAAATGGCAATGTGTCCCTGGTAGATGGCGATATTTAGTAATTACACTGGATTTGGATTAATTGGATTTGAGTTAACATATGATGGCTGAGTGGTTAAGGTGATGGACTGCTAATACATTATGCTCTGCGCGTGTGCACTGAAAAAAAAGCTTCATGAATTTACTTAATTCAGGTGCGTACATCAGTTCCACATAATGTCGCATTAATCTGAATCCCAAGTGATATTTTAAAGGCCCCATTGCAACTTTGCTACATTACATCCTAACTGAATACCAGACTGCTTTAAGCTTTGCTGCGAGTTTAGTGGACATTACTACTTGCTAATGAGCTGTGTAGGGAAAGCACTTTGCACTTTATGAGTGATCAGCATCGGTATCATGTGCATGTGGATCATCACTATTGTAGATTTTTATTTTTTATTTTTTAACCTCTGAGGACCCTAAGTCTATGTGAAGTATTAGACTACAGTGACATCAGGTAGCAACTGAATGTCTTGTATGAGTGTATGTGTGTAATTTCTCATCATCTATAAGTTGGTCACTTGTTTTATATTTCTATTAAGAAAAAAAAATCATGAAACACTGATTTAAGTGGGGAACTACAGTAATCCGAATTTGTGCAGTGGAGCTTAATGTAAGAACATAGTACGAGTTTGCTCACATTTAAGGCAACGACGAGGACGGGATTCGAACCCACGTGTGCAGAGCACAATGGATTAGCAGTCCATCGCCTTAACCACTCGGCCACCTCGTCCGCATGAACACGACACTCACTCGCCACCTGCTGGAGAGACATTGCTACTTCAATTTTAGTCTACTTCAACACACTTTGCTACTTAAGGTGGACCGAAATCAATGAAACAAAAAAATTAACTGAATCACCGATACT